GTCAGTGCCACGGCGCCCGCGTCGGTCGCGCCAGACTAGCTGGCCGCTCTGCGCGCGAGCCTGCGCGCGATAGCGCGGCCGCAGCGATGCGCCAGCCAGCGCCAAGCAATCATCACAATTGCCGCCGCATGGGCTTCGCAAGCCCAGTTGCTGGTGGGTGGGTGGGGTAATTGCGCGAGCAATGGACTTGTCAACTCACTGCGATCAGAACTTACTTGAACCGCGCAGATTGCAAAACATAGCTGGCACCACATAGATGGCATCGTATTTTTGCACAATATATATATGTATATTGCAACATGTAGATTGCACAGCACAGATCGCACTACATATATTGAACCACATAGATAGATCGCACCACTTAGATTGCACCACCTAGCGTGCAGCACATAGGTTGCGCCGCACATGTTGCACAACATAGGTTGCTAGAAACACACTGTGTGGGATCCACGTTGACTAGGATGGTTCATACAGTGTCAAAACAATGTTTGCACTGAAGGCCCTTACACATGCGCTGAAGTTTGATGGGTGTGCCAGGTTTTCGGCTGGCGACCGGCTGGTAAGCGCACGTGGGCGCCTCGTGTTGGGTGGGCGTGCCGAGCTTTCGCCTAGCTCCCACCCGTGGGCGCTCGTGGGCGCCTGGTGCGCTGGGTGGGTGTGCAGAGATTTCGCCTGGTGCCTCCCCCCCCCCCCCCCGGTATGCGCTTCTTGGGCGCCTGAGGCGCTGGGCCGGTGTGCAGAGGTTTCGCCTTCGCCTGGTGCTCACCCGCCCGTGGGCGCTTCGTGGGCGCTCCGCGCTGGGCGGCCGTGTAGCCTGCACTGCAGAGCTTCAACAAATAGCCTATACCACATAGCTTGCACCCCATAGCTTGCACCACGAGGCTTCCACAGCATAGCTTGCACAGCACAGTCTACCCCACACAGCTTACAACACTTAGCTTCCACCACACATATTACTCTGCTTGCACCATAAAACTTAAACCACATGTCTTGCACCGCATGTACCACAACATGTACATTTATATACACATAGGTGTATGTGTACGTATGCTTATACATATACACATATGCGTATCGATTGCCAACTTACACCATATATATTCCATCGCATACGCCACATAGAGTGCGCCATATGGTTTACACCATATAGCTTGCACAGCGCAGCTTGCACCGCATGGTTTTCACCGAATACGTGTCACCACAGAAATTGCACAGCATAGCTTTCACAACATCGCTAGCACCACATAGCTCACACACATCCACAACGAAATAACTTACAGTCTGGGGCCCGAGCTGGCAAACATCCTCGAACAACAGGCGTGCCGCCTGTTGTGGCTTCCATCGGCCCTCCTGGGGGCTCCGCCCGACAGGCCAAGGGGGCAGCTTTCAGTCACCCTCGCCCTCAGCAACCCTCCAGTTGGGCATCCTCATCCTCAGGGTAGACACCCCTAGAACGCAGCATTGATTCTTACATTGGGTCTCCGAGCCACCGAACTTTCGGTCTTGACAACGCCCTGCCGCAGGGTGGTCGTGGCAGCGACTCACTAATCGGCGCGTCAACGACCTCCGACCTTCCGGAAAGGCTAACGAAATCGCACCGGGACCCTCGGACGCTGATCTGAAGCGGAGGTGTGCAAAGCCATACAAAGCGGGACTTCTAGCATGCTGGGGCCCAGCCGAGTTGAGGTCCAACTTAGCTGATCCCCAATGGGAGTAATACAGCACTGGGTTGGAGGTTGAAGGCGGAAGGGGGGTCTGAACTGGCTGGGGTCCCAGGAGTGGGCGATGAAGCGAAATCCGCTCAAAATCGGTAGCTACAAAAACCTAAACCCAGCGCCTCGAACCTTGGACAGGCGCGTTCCACTACTCGCAAATCAACTACTCGCAAATTGCCTGGAGCCTCCGCGGGGGATTTGCGGTATATCAAGTAGAGGAAGACCGGTATATTTCGGACGTTTGCGAGTAGGCACTTTGCGAGTAGTGGAACGCGGTCGGCGAAACCTGCCCGCCCTTGCTGCTCGCAGGAGCCGGTGCCGGGCCACCTCAGACCCCCAGACGGCTCCAAGTTTTAGGTCGGGCGTGTCCCCCTACAGGCGGATTCTGAGCGACAAATGCAAAATAGACAGAAAAATATTTTAAAAATACCCCAGAATTATATGTAAAAAAATCGTCCCCAGACTATTTTGTTGACTATTTCGGAGTATTCCCCTGCAGAGGGGCACGCCCGACTCAGCCAAGTTGGAGGGCGCACTTCGGTGGCCTGCCCGTGGCCCATCCATCACCGGCGGCCCGCGAGGACACGCCCGTGGGGAGGCAGACGGGCACGCGAGCATGAGCCTCCGACGTCCGCTGGCGGAGTCTCTGGGCGTGCCAGGAAGGTCCCAAAGCCCCCCCCCAGAAGAGCTACCCCGACACGCGAAGTCGTCGAGTAAAAACGCCCCCCAAAAATCGAACAGGGCAGGGCTGTTGAGTAAACTCGGCTGAACGCAAGAGTGACCCTGGGTAAGAGTGGCCTTTGGTGCGCGGTTTTTGGAGGGCCGCGGGGGGACCGAACACAAGCGCGCAAGACGCTGCTACCGAATCGCGTTTGGCGGTCGGGGAACCCCATTGGGCCGGCACCAGAGGTCACTCCGGCGAAACATCACTCTTATGTCTCGTCGATACACGCCCAGGGCAGTTTAGTAAACGCCAATTGTCCGGTCCGGGTGGTTTTTCCTCCCTTGATGCCAGACCCCCCTCCCCAGCACCCCGTCCTCGGCGCGTGCTAGCGCGAGGCGGCCGGCGCCGAGTGCCCGGCGGAGAAAGCTGCCAATCTCTGGAAGAGCAACGCATTTTTGCATGAGCATGAAGTTTCGTCGGCTACACGCAAGAGTGACCCTGGATAAGAGTGACCTTTGGTGCGCGGCTTTTTGGGCGCCGCGGGGGGACCAAGCACAAGCGCGGAAGACGCTACCATCGCATCGCGCTCCGCGATCGGGGGGACCCCGATGAGCCCACACCAGAGGTCACTCCAGCGAAGGGTCACTCTTACGTCTAGTCGATTTCGGAGCTACGCGCGAATTTCTTGGATCGGCGCTGGGCACCACTCCCTGGCGCGCGAAGCGCGCCAGGGACAGCGGCGGAAGCGCCACCAAGGGGTCCCAGCGCAGATCCAGGAGATCCGCGCGGCTCGTCGAGAGTTAATATTTGTTTTTTTCTTTTCGCTTCCTGTCTTGGAGAGAGCTGCCCATCTTGGGGACGAGACTTTCAAGCTGGCGTGTCCCTCTAGCGGCCGCCGAGGGGCCTAGAACGGGCCTCCGAGGACCCGAACACATGCAATACTGGGCTTCAAGATTTAGTTTGTGACCCCTTTGGGGGGGGGATTCTGGGAGGTCCAATGACTCAGAGCTGGCCTCATGGCCTTACAACGATAGCTTCCAGAGGCGGCAAAGAACTTCCAAAGCGACCCTCGAAACACGAACCTCGATCATCGTCCGTCGTCGTCCTCGTCGTCGTCGTCGGTCGTCGGTCGTCGATCGTCGGTCGTCGGTCGTCGGTCGTCGGTCGTCGGTCGTGGGTCGTCAGTCGTCAGTCGTCAGTCGTCAGTCGTCAGTCGTCAGTCGTCAGTCGTCGTCGTCGTCGTCGTCGTCGTCGTCGTCGTCGTCGTCGTCGTCGTCGTCGTCGTCGTCGTCGTCGTCGTCTCTTTTACCCCTCCTCAAAACATCGATTCCCAGACATCCCCACATGTACTGATGTGTGTTTGGCAAGAACCAATGGGGATCCAGCCGTGGCGACGAGAAACTTTCCAGGGGCCCCAAAAGAGGGGACATCGAGCGAAAACGTTGCCCTCCGACCCTCTTGGCATGAAGGAAGTGGGTCCTGGTGGAAAAGTGTCTTCGTCCCCAGTGCCTTCTTCCCTGGGACCACCGTTTCAAGCTGAGTAACTTCTTGTCGATCCCAAGACCCCAGGAGGGCCCCGGGAGCTTGAAAAGGGGGCTTAAACTCACTGACCCCTTCCCGCCAGGACGCTTTCCTTCTTGCAGGTGAGCATGGCCGGGCAGCGCGCGTGAAAGAACAACGCACAGCACAGCCGCCGCCGACGCCGCCGCCGCCGTCGTCGTCGTCGTCGTCGTCGTCGTCGTCGTCGTCGTCGCCGGACCGCGCGCGGACTTGGGCCTCTTGGGGGGTCCCAGAAAGGTTCGGTGACAGACCGTGCGGTGACCTCGAGCCCCCACAAGACCGCACTGCAAGCTCCGTCATCGCAAGCGGTTCTTGGAACTTTGAGGGGCCACGGTCGTCCCAGACATCCTCGGAGAACCACCCGGGTCCCAAAACCGTGCGCTCACCCGAAATCTCGGTGGCGCGCCGCGCGGGGAAGCGAGAGGGGGCAAGCCTTTCAAGAAGGCGGCGGGGCTTCTGAGAAGACTTCCGGCCTTCAGAACAGCCCCCTGCGGCTGGGGACAATGCTTCGAAAGCTTCTCAGACAGCCACATGCTTTCTGAGCCTTCTGAGGAGGCCCGCACCCTCTTTACGTCCCCCGTTGGTTGTGCCGCCTAGATGACCATTGACCCACCCGGCGGTGCGGCCACTGCACTCGTCTGGGGCTCCCGGGCCTTGATCTGCTCCGCCCACGTGTCGCCGTCGCCAGAGTCTCCGACGTACTCGGACAGCAGCTGCAGCACGCGGGTCGCCTGCTCCAGGACGTTGGGGTTCCTCGCCGTGCGGCGGCGGCCCCGTAGGCTCAGAGGGGGCGATTTGGCGTTTCGGCTTCGGGGCGTGAGGATTGCGAGCGTTGTCGCCGGTTCTTGGCGGCTTTCGAGCCCCAGGGTTTGGACGCCCGAAGGGTACGGAAAAAATGGGTATAATGCCCAACAGCAAATGTTGCCCCAAACCATCGGCGGCCGCTGTTGGGCAGGCGGCCTTCTGTCTCAAGTGGACACAGGCCGCGGCGGCGCGGACAGCGAGTTCTGTTCAAAATGAACAGGAACTGCTGTTGGGCATCGCACCCGTGCCTTCCGTACCCATTTTGTTCGTGCCGACAGGGGCTGCGTTCCAGCAGCTGCGCCTCGGCAAGAGCGCTCCGGCCCTGCCCGAAGGCCCCCCCCCGCACGGAGGTGCCCGCCCCGTGCCCACGAACGAGCCGACCATCGACCTCCCCTGCCTCGCCCTAGCGAGGCCGAAGGCGGCGGGGGGACCCGTGCTCGCGGCCGCCCCGGCCACCCTGGCCGGGGACCGCCCGACGCCGTGCTTTCTCGGCCCGCCGCCTGCACCTGGGACAGAAATGGGTTTGGATTCCAAGGTGGGTCTGTTAAGGGTCGTGAAACAAACGCGGAAACGCAGCTTATGCCTCTCTGTGCAAACGCGGTCTGGCACAGCGGGGGGGGCATCAACGCGACGCCGAGGAGCGTCGTGGACTCGAGCGCCCATACTGACTTCACGAATTCCTCCAAACTGTGTAACCACTCTGTTTTCGGTACCCCCACGGAGGTGCTCGCTTCGTGCCCGCGAGAGCCGACCGTCGGCCTCCCCTACCTCGCCCTGGCGAGGCCGAGGGCGAAGGGGACCCGTGTTCGCGGCCGCCCTGGCCGCGTGCCGAGGAGGAGGAGGAGGAGGAGGAGGAGGAGGAGGAGGAGGAGGAGGAGGAGGAGGAGGAGAAGGAGGACCGCACCTGGGACAGAAGGAACACGAGGCGGCGACGCCCCCGTCCTGCCTGGAGGCCTCCCGACTGGGGCTGGAGCGGGTCGGGTCGGAGGGTCGCGCCGCAAGTGGCGACGTCGGCGCATAGGCGCCGTCGGCGTGGAGAAGATCAGGCTCCACATCGAGCCGCATCGCCGATGCATTGGCGATGCGCGCGATCCTTCGACCCCATCTGCTCGGACCCCATGTGGGATGCCGAGGAGCGGGGAGTTCTGGCAGGAAGGACCAGGGGCTCCTGGGAGTCAGACGTTTTGTTTGCCGCTGGGTCTCTTGGGCCTCCCGAGGATCGCCTCGAGGAGAAGTGCCCCAGGTGCTTCGCCGATTTCGGGCCCCCTGGGCCCTCCGCGGTCCCGGGGAAGATCAACAAGACACTCAGATCGAAGATATCCCTCGACATAGTTTTCAAGCGGGCGTGTCAGGGGGGATATTCAAAAAATAGCCAAAACATAATCAGGGGACGATGTCTGACTATTTTTTAACCATTTGGGTGTATCTTTGGAGTAGTTTTGGCGTTCCTCGAAAATCGGCCTGTCGGGGGACAGGCCCGACCTAAAGATAGTTCGAGAGTGCCCGAAGCATAGCACGCGCAGATCTCCAAGGTCCGCGCGGACTCCTTGGAGCGGCGCTGCCCGGGGATAAAGGGGGTCCAGCGCTGCGCGGGGGGGGAGGGACGGACGGACACACGCGAGAGAAGGGGGGGCCAGAGGGAGAGGAGGGAGCGGAGGGGAGGAGGCGGACAGGGTGGGGAGGGTGGACAAGAAAACACACGACACCACCCCACCTACGGCCCCACGGGCCGTAGCGTATACCTGGACATCTGGCGTGGGTTTTTGCACAGTATGCGCTGCGGCCCCCGATGGGCCGTAGCGCAACATGGAGGGCCGCAGGTGGGGTGGTGTCGTTTTGTTTTTTGGCCGAGGGGGGGGGGATGAGGTGGGGAGTGGTGAGGCGTGAGGCTGAAGTGCTGGAGGTGAGGCGTGAGGGAGAGGAGTGGAATGAATCACAGAAGGAGGGAGCGGGAGGAGAGAGGGGAGCTGAGGGGGTGGGTGGGTGCAGGGCAGACGAGGGGGAGGCAAGTGAGAGGTGGAGAGGAGGAGAGGGGCAAGGGGGGAGGGGCGGGGAGAACGAGAGGAAAGAAGGGAGAGAGGGAAGGGCGAGGGGGGGAGAAGCGCAAGAGGATTAACGAGGTGAGGACAAGGAGGGAGGAGGGAGAGATGGGCGCGGATGCAGAAGAGAGAGAGAGAGAGAGATAGGATGGGATGGGATATGATTGGATTGGCGACGGAAATTAGGAGCATAGGAGAAGTGGGACAGACTGGGGAGTGGTGGGTGGGTGGAAAAGGTAGAATAAGTTCGGTCGTGGGTCCTGGCGCGCGCGAACCACATGACGCAGCTGCTGAGCTCCGTGTCTTGCAGAATGTAGTCCCTCACAGTGTCCTCCAGAAGAAGGCACTGGAACGCGAAAAAGAGCTGCACCACGATCTCCTCGTCCTCCCGCTTTTCTATCAGGAGCTCCTGCAGCATGCTTGGTATCCGCGACCCCGCGATGTGCTGGGCCGCATCCTGGGACATGGCCAGCGTTCCCGCGATCATCACGCACTCGAGGACGACATCGTCCTCGGAGAAGCCAGGCACGAGCAGCTTCGTCAGAAGGTCGATGAGGCCCACCTCGCACAGCTCGCCCCACGGAATGCCTGGCAGGGTGACGTTGGCCAGCGTGCCGAGCACCTCCACCAGGAGGTCCGGGTTGTCGGAGCACACGCTGGCCATGCGGACGAACTCGTGCATCCACCTGGACATGCGCACGCTCTCGCTGACCAGCAGCTCGCACATGGGCTCCAGCGTGGCCTCGTGCGCGGAGATGTGCCGAACGACCTTGCAGAGCATGGGGTCCCGGTTCCTCAACATTCGGATCATTACCTTCGGGGGCCACAAACCACTATCAATGTCACGCCGCTCGGGCGATCCATCGGCGTAGTGCTGCTGACAATGCACAAACCTGCTGCGCAGCAAACGAGCGAATGGCGTGCCTTGAATGACGCGCGTGTCATTGGTTCTCTTCTCCCTCCCGAAGCCTGGGGGAAAAGGCCGCTGTCAAGCATCACCTCCGCGGCCCGCGGGTGCGTGGCCAGATTGATGACCAGGGCCACCAAGTCCTTGCCAACCTGGGGCTCGGGGAAGTGGACCACGAGCTGCAGGAGTATCACTATGCCTGGGATGGGACGCAAAGTAACATGCTATGCGCGCCCCCCCCTTGGAGGCGCAGGTCCGAACCGAACACATAGCACACATTTCCAAAATTATATCGTTACCCAGGCGACAGGGCCAGAAAGAACCCGCCACCGAGCATAGACTGCAAGCTTTCTCAAAGCCCGCGCCGCCTCATGGGGAGCCACGCACACGTAGTAGAAGAGTATAAGAATGTCTGGGTAATGCCGACACTGGCCATCGCTCGGACGCCCATTCCCTGTGTTTTGTTCGGTTTCGTGCGTGTTTTTTTTTTTTCGCAGGATGATCCAGGATGTCCCTTTCATAATCCCCGCCGAGAAAAAGTGCACACGTCCGAGCGATACCAAGAGCCACGCACACATAGTAGAAGAGTATCAGAATCTCTGGGTAATGCCGGCGGGAGGATCCTGGGGAACAGCACCAGGCAAACATGGGCTCCGGACGTCTGCGGACAGCTCTTTCGCTGGCCATGGACCTCCTCCCCACAGCCCTCCGCGGCGCGCGAAGCGCGCCAGAGGGCGCCGACCTGGGGTTGTCGGAAGGGGCCCTGGCGCTGGCGGAGCTCTGCTGTCCGCCGCCGTCCGAAGATGACGTTCACTCGCGCGACTGCCCAAGCGACCGACGTCCTGATCTTTCCTCAAGTTGGCTCCAAAGAGGCCAGGACCCCTCCACGGGGACCAGCTTCTCATCATGAGTCGCTTTTTGGCGGCCTGGGGGGGCCGACAAGGCCCTCGGAGGCCGCAAATTGCCAAAAACTTGTCGCCTGTTTTTTGGTGAACGACGCGAATATCTCAGCGTGGCCCCCGATTGCCGTCTCGGTGGTAAGCCATCAAGGACTTCCGCTCGTCCATCGAGAAGTGGTATAGCAGCCGCAGGACGATGTGCCGGAAGGGCGGGTTGCGCAGGTGGTCCACTAGCACCTTCACCACGCCTTTCGCGAGCTCTGACGAGGCTCGGCGCGGTCCGTCCAAGACTTATGCGACAGGAGTAACCGCCGCGTGGTCAGCAAAAGCAGCGAATAGCGTCGAATGCTCTTCCCATTATGACACCCCAAGGCTGTGCACCTACCGAATTCTTTCCGGCTATCGTCTGGCGTCCGCCTCCTCCTCATCATAATCATCTGCCTGTTTCTCGTCTCAACATGTAATCATTCACTCCCTTCGCATTTACCTCTTCCTCCCCGTTCCTCGCAGCACGCGTGAGGCTTTCTAATATATGCCCTACTGCTGCATCGTTGATTTGACGCCCCACAGTTTCCTGGTTCCCCAGAAGTAACAAACGCTACGAAAACGCAGAGTGCTGCCGATTTCCCCACCTCTACAATGTGCATGCTCCTCTCACCACAACGCCGCAAAGTCCCCTTGAACCCGCCTCAGAGACCAATAACGTCATGGCTACCTCATGGCTGGCGGCTGTATCACGACTGGCCTGTTGCGAAATTGGAGCTGCTCCCGGGGGCCGCTATAGAAAAGGGTGGCACGTCGAACTTCACGATCAATGCATTGCGGTTGCCTGGCATACCCATATACGGCCACATGCACGGCCACCTCCATGCCAGTGCATGTCACATCACATCCCCATCCAGACGTTCTTGAAACGATCTAGTACAATCATCTGGGCCGCATCGCGATCAACATCATGAATCAATTGCTAACATGTGCCACGCGTGCCCGTAACATGTTTTCCATGTAGCTATGGCAGAATCGTATTATACGAAAGTGCTCGTTCCGACGAATGTGTCTGAGATCTGGAGCCGCTTGCTTAATTGCACCTCATGCGTTTGGTTGCTGTGCCGTCTGAGCCAGAATAGGCCCAACATCGGCTACTTTACTGTACACACTCTCCTGGCATTTTTGTTCCGAGCGGCGTCCAGCCATGAAAGCGAACACCCCCCTCTCCACGTAGATGAATGAAACACTTCGAACGCAATCGCAAGAGCAGAAACATTGATGGCTTGATGCCTGACTCCACCAGGTGCCCCCGCACGTTTTCGTCGAACGAGAGATTGTACAGCACGTGGAGAGCGAGCAATGCGACGTGAACGTTCGGGTGCGTGGAGAGCTGTACCATCCGCGTGAGCGTGTCAGGGGTGGCG